CAGGCGCCCTACCACGCCCTGCTAATTTTTGCATTTTTTGTAGAGATGGGGTTTCGCCATGTTGCCCCAGCTGGTCGCGAACCCCTGGGCTCAAACGATCCTCCGGCCTCAGCCTCCTAAAGTACTGGAATGAAAGGCGTGAATCACAGCCACCACCACCGCGCTCGACCTTGTCCCACTTTCTGCCCGGTTGCCTTTATCTGGCCCCAAGCTTTTGTGCTCTCCCTTCTCTCCAGTTTGAGCTCTGTTCCCTCCTGGGCCCCAGTCTGGATCCCTGTCCCCGGCCTCCACCCTAAGCGCTGTCCACGGGCTGACCCTGGCTCTGACCTCAACCCACGAGCAGACGCACCGCGAGCACCTACTGCTACAGTCTGAGGACACCATCCAGGACAGCCTGCATGCCGAGGAGGAGGAGCTGCGGCAGCGCGGGAGCATGTACCAGATGGAAGTGATCTTTGGCAAGGTCAAGGACGCCACTGGCACTGCCAAGATGCACGTGAGTTCTGCCCGCAGCCCTCCCCGCCCTGCCCCGTCCACCCCAGACGGGCCCCAGGGGTGCCCAGGCTGGTGAAACCGGCATACCCTGCCTCCCCTCTCTGCCAGGTCAGTTCTTCAGCTCACAAACCTACTCCTTTCTTGAAAAACATCCCTTCCCCCTCCAGCTACCGTTCAGTTTTCCTGCTGCCCTTCACAGCAAAACCCCCAGGAGCTGTCCACACTCGCTGTCATTTCTACACTCGCCTTCCGTTCTCTCTTGAACCGTGCTAATTCCTTTGCCGTGCCAGCTCTAGGAGAACTGAGAGTTTCCTCTCTTGTTCTGTCTCCAGTGTCTGTAACATGGTCTGTGACCCAGTAGACCGCTCAGATCCTGGCAAGTGGGGTCCCTGCACCGGGTCCCTCACTTTACAGCATCTTCTTTGCATTATTCTAAGACCAATGTGTCCCCTTTGGGTCCTGGTTCCCGCCAGTGAACACTGGACCCCAACCCTGTTTCTCCCCTCTGGGTGCCTGCCAACCTGCTGCTCCCCCCATGGGGCCGACCCCTGAGGAGTTCCGGGACTCCCACCTATTGGAGGACACCTATGGGGTCATCTGGGGCACTGAGGCGCAGCCCCTTTCCAGATGTGGGCCTTGTGAGCAGATGGCTCCGAAGAAGGGAGGTATTTCCTGTGGGATCAGGCGAGATTCGCGGCCAGAAATTGATGGCACGTTGATTTTTGGAAAGAAGCTATGCTCGCCTGTCCAGCTGTCCCCGAATTTGAGCTGACTCAAATTCCTTATATAGGCTAGAAAGGGCCCCGCAAAAATGATATATCCAGGGCTGCTCATCCTTGAAGCCACCCTGAGTCCAACGCACAGTGTCCCCATACATTGCTGTGCAAAAGACGCCAGCTCAGGCCACCTGTCCTGCGTGCGATGGGACGCAGGGTGGGGGAGAGGAGGTGGAGCGCCCCTGCGCCTCTCTAGGCCCTGGCTCTGACTGGGGCTGGGTGGCCCACAGTCGTTGGTGCGGCGGTTCGTGGCCCAGGGCGACACCTTCGCGCAGTTGGAGACGCTCAAGAGCGAGAACGAGCAGACGTTGGTGAGGCTGAAGCAGGAGAAGCAACAACTTCAGCGGGAGCTGGAAGACCTCAAGTACTCAGGGGAGGCCACGCTGGTGAGGTGAGGCGCCAGGGCCCTGGGGAGGGCGGCGGGGCGGGCTGAGCCCCCGGGGTGACCTCCCGGCTCCCTCCAGCCAGCAGAAACTGCAAGCCGAGGCGCAGGAGCGTCTCAAGAAGGAGGAGCAGCGGCACGCCGAGGCCCAGGACCAGCTGGAGCGCGCCTTGCGGGCGATGCAAGTGGCCAAGGACAGCCTGGAGCACCTGGCCAGCAAGCTGGTCCACATCACTGTGGTAGGCCCCGCCCGGGGGAAGCCCCACCAGGCCCTTACGGGACCAAAGAGGCGCAGCCACAAAGCGGGGGTTCCTGCCACACCCGCTTGCCCTGGAGAACATGGCCTGCCACATCCTCTGTCCCGAACGTCAGAGGCCCCGCCCACAGGGGAAGCCCCACCCCGGGGAAGCCCCACCCCATTCCCCGCCCCACCTCCCTGGGGAAGCTCTCACTCCCCAAGGAAGCCCAAGACTTCAGTCCCCTCTCAAGCTCCGCCTCCAAGGGAAAGAAGTCCCACCCTGTCCCAGAAAACCTCGGAGACCTATCTGCAATTCTGGAGCAACCCGAGACAGACGCCCTATCCTGCCCGCAGCAGAGGCCCATTTCTTCAGGAGGCCATCCCACAATGGTCTCCCTGGAATCCTTACTGTTCCCAAGAGGCCTCCCCGAAACCTTTTCATATAGAGCTAGAGTTCAGAGACTCCCCCATCGCAGACCCGGCCTTGATCTAAGTCCCCGCCCACAATGGCTAGGATGGCCCCCTGTAGGTGGGCCCTTAGCTCCTAGGCCCAACTCCCGAGAGAAAAGCCCCGCCCCTGGGTGGCGCCTTCCAATAGGCCCCACCCCTCTCGGCTGACCCGGCTCTACCTTGGCCACAGGAGGACGGCCGCTTCGTGGGGAAGGAGCTGGATCCCCAGGCAGATAACTATCTGCCAAGCCTGCTGGGCCTCGTGGAGGAAAAGCTGCTGAAATTGCAGGCGCAGCTCGGGAGCCACGACGTGCAGGAGATGCTGCGCCACATCGCTGACCGCGAGGTGCCCTGCAGCCCTGGGGCAGAGCTCCAGAGCTCTAGTAGTGGGGCTGGGTCGGAAAATCAGGGAACTGGGGGCCACTTCGAGAGACCAGAGTGCAGGCTGATCAGCCAGGAAGGGGTCTCGGGGACACAACGGGTGAGGTTTGAGGAGCTAGGGGTGAGCCCGAGCCACGAGGGAAGAAACCAGACGAGGTGCGGGCGGATCCCGGGAGGCTAGAGGACGCGGCTGGGGGATCGGGATGGGGAGAGGCCTATAGCAGGGCCCCAGAGACCAGGGGCGGACCTGAGTGATGAGGAGGCGAAGCTGGGTATCAAGGTGCCTGCTGAAGGAAGGATGGAAGTGGGCAATGGTCTCCAGTTGGAACCAGGGCATATCTCCGAATGGGGTAGGGAGGAGGGGGAATGTGATTTCTCGGTGGCCCCTGGTCCCTCCCACCTTCCTCTCTCACTTCCCATCCCCGCTTAGTTCCTCGCCAGCTTAGAGGGAAGGCTGCCCGAATACAACACCCGCATCACGCTGCCCCTTGCCACTCCCAAGGACAAGTTTTTTGGTCAGTATGGGTGGGGGGATGAAGGGGTGCGGTTAGGGCCCCAAGCTGGGGAACAGGAGGTTGTCCCATACCTTGCTCAAGGCCAAGGTGGGGGTGGAGTGGGGTGGTAAAGGGAAGGGGTACCAGGGATGGGGACCTGGATCCCTCATCGCTCCCTGCTCATCCCCCCACACCGCCCCCCCGCCGTAGATGAAGAGAGTGAGGAGGAGGACAACCAGGTAGTGACCCGCGCATCGCTAAAGATCCGTTCCCAGAAATTAATCGAAAGCTACAAGAAGCACCGTCGCTCTCCGAGGTCCTAGAGTCGCCCTGACACCCCCCTGGCGGCCCCCATCGGTGCCCCCGATCCCTCCGGGTCTAGCGCAGGCCCCACGGGGCCCCTTCAAGGGCTGAACGCGGCCCGGACAGGGAGCGGAGGCGGCCAGCGGCGCCCGGAGGGGAGGAAGGGGCCGGGCCAGACGTTCCCACAGTAAATCTCCCCAGCCAGGTCTGCCCCGGCCTCAGAGTTGCGCAATAAAGGTTACTGACCACGCCCCTGGCATTCATCTCTTTTTGACCCTGCACCACCCAAGAGATGGCTGTCCCTGAAAACCCAGGGCCACAGACTCTGCCTCCTCCAACCTGGGTCATGATGACTCCCATCAGCTGGTGACGCAGATGGAGCTTAAAAATGGGAGATGGCCGGATGTAGTGGTTTTACGCCTGTAATCCCAGTATTTAAGGAGGCTGAGTTGGGAGGATCACTTGAGTCCAGGAACTTCAGGCTGCAGTGAGCTATGATCATGCTACTGCACTCCAGCCTGGGCCACAGAACCAGACCCTGTCTCAATAAATAAGATAAGAGCCGGGTGCAGTGGCCCATACCTGTATTCCCAGCACTTTGGGAGGCTGAGCTGGGTGTATCCATTGAGCCCAAGGGTTCCAGAATAGCCTGGGCAACATGGTGAAAACCAGTTCTTACCAAAAAAAAAAAAAAAAAAAAAGCTGAGCAACTGAGCATGGTGGCACGTGCCTGTAGTCCCAGCTACTTGGGAGACTGAGGCAGGAGAATAGATTGAACACAGGAGGCAGAGATTGCAGTGAGCCAAGATCAAGCCACTGCACTCCAGCCTCAGCACCAGGAGTGAGACCCTGTCTCTAAAAAATAATAAGGCTGGGCACCATGGTTCATGCCTGTAATCCCAGCATTTTGGAAGGCTGAAGCGGGTGAATTTCTTGAGGCCAGGATTTTGAGACCAGCCTGGCAAGCATGGCAAAACCCCGTCTCTACAAAATATACAAAAATTAGCCAGGCATGGTGGCACACGTCGGTAATCCCAGCTACTTGGGAGGCTGAGGCAAGAGAATCGTTTGAACCTGGGAGACAGAGGTTGCAGTGAGCTGAGATCAAGCCACTGTACTCCAGCCTGGGTGACAGAACGAAACTCCATCCCAAAATAATAACAATAATAGTAAAAAGTGGGCGATGCCCTCACACTTGGTCAAGCTAGCCTCTTCCACTGGAGGACAGAGGACTCTGGTCTGGGGACACTCACCTGCCCCCACACAGGAACTCCCCCACATCTGGGGGTACAAAAAAGATCCCTTGGGGATAGATGTGTCCTTTCTCCTGGGTACAGATAGGCGCCCAGTGGAAGAGCCAGGACCTCTCCTGGGCTCGCGCGGGGTCCAGCTGGAGGCACCCAGAAGCTGGGTCGGGCCTGCCCCGCCCAGCCCCAGCAGCTCGGCCGCCCCGCCCCTCTGGCCCCAGCGCCCGGTCACTGCCCGCCACCCGCCGGCCCTTCCGTTTCACTCAGCGGAGCCACTGAGAGGGACGGGTGCCGGCCATGGAGCGCACAGCAGGCAAAGAGCTGGCCCTGGTAAGGGGACAAGGGATCCCCGGACCCCGCATTCCTGGTGACCCGCAGGTCCAGAAACTCCAAGTGCCCTCCCGTCGGACGCTATTTGCTCCCATCTGAACTTGCCCTGGAGTCCCCTCCTGGGGACTCAGGGCCCTTGACCCAGTGAAGCGACTACTTCCCTCTTAGGGATAGGGGCGCGAGTCTCTGAGAGCAGTCGGCAGAAAGGGCTAGAGACAGGTTCTATGAGGCGGGGCCCTGGGACATCCCCAAATGCTACCACATGTCCTCAGGACCTGGGAGGAGGGGACCCGCGGCTAGGAGGGTACTAGCCTGGGACCCCAGCCCGAGTCTCGCAGCTTCTGGCTGGGAAGGGGCGTGGGGATGGAGCAGCAAGACTCAGCCCGAGTCCAAGCCGCCAAGGAGGCTGAGGCCCCAGGACCTGCGCCCCTTTGGTGCCCTGAGTCCGCCTCTGCGTCTAGGCACCGCTGCAGGACTGGGGGGAAGAGACCGAGGACGGCGCGGTGTACAGTGTCTCCCTGCGGCGACAGCGCAGTCAGCGCTTGAGCCCGGCGGAGGGCACCGGGGGCAGCCAGGTGAGGAGGGGGTTTGGTGGGTGGCGCGGGGCCGGAAGCGACCAGGTGAGGGCGGAGCCGGAGAGCCGAGCACAGGCAGCCAGATGCAGTGGGCGGAAGGAAGGGAGGGGCTCAGAGGCGACCAGGTGAGGCGACCAGGTAGAAAGAGGCCTGGGGGCGGCCAGGTAAGTGGGGGAAGATCCAGGGAATCGGGTGGGGCCAGGTGATGGCCGCGCAGTTCCCGAGAGGAGCCTGGGGACAACTTGGTAAGGACAGAACTGGACAACAGGGTTAGGAAAGGCAGGTTTAGAGGGCCGGGGCTGGAAGGTGGAGAGGGGTTGGTTTAGAAGTGGCTGGGTGAGGGCGGGTGGGGCAGCCAGTGAAGCGCGACAGGAGGGCTGAGGGAAGCCCGGGGTGGACAAGAGTGTATGTGTGGGGGCGGAGGGAGGGAGTAGGGGACAGGGCATGTGAGAGGGAGGGTTTCCAGGGCAGGTTGCAGGAGATATTTGTGGATGGGGAGGAATAGTAACTTCAAGCGGGCAGGGTGTGGGGCACACACCTATAATCCCTGAGCTTTGAGAGACCAAGGCAGGAGGCCAGGAATTCGAGACCAGCCTGGACAACACAGCAAGATTCTGTCTATATAAAAATAAAAATCAAAAAATTAGCTGTGGGTGGTGATGCCCAGCAGTGGCCCCAGCTACTCAGGAGGCTGGGGCAGGAGGAACACTTGAGTCTAGGAGTTGGAGGCTGCAGGGAGCTATGATTGTGCCACTGCACCCCAGCCTGGGCAACAAAACAAGACCCTGTCTCTAAAAAAAACAAACCGAAACAATAACTCCAAGAAGCCGGGAGTCAGAGGAATCACACGCAAGAGTGGTGCTAGGGGCTGGGCGTGGTGGCTCACGCCTGTAATCCCAGCACTTTGGGAGGCCGAGGCGGGTGGATCATGAGGTCAGGAGTTCAAGACCAATCTGGCCAAGATGGTGAAACACCATCTCTACTAAAAATAAAAAAAAATTAGCTGGGCGTGGTGGCGGGTGCCTGTAATCCCAGCTACTTGGGAGGCTGAGGCAGAGAATTGCTTGAACCCAGGAGGCAGAAGTTTCAGTGAGCCAAGATCATGCCACTGCACTCCAGCCTAGGTGACAGCGCGAGATTCTGTCTAAAAAAAAAAAAAATAGTGGTGCTAGGGGCTGGGCACTGTGGTTCACGCCTGTAATCCCAGCCCTTTGGGAGACTTTGAGAGGCCAAGGTGGGCAGATTACTTGAGGTCAGGAGTTCGAGACCAGTCTGACCAACATGGTGAAACCCTGTCTATAAAAATTAGCTGGGCATGGTGGTGTGCACCTGTAGTTTCAGCTACTTGGAGGCTGAGGCAGGAGGATTGCCTGAACCCAGGAGGCGGAAGTTGAAGTGACCCAAGATGGTGCCACTGCACTCCTGCCTGGGTAACAGAGTGAAACTCTGTCTCAAAAAAAAAAAAAAAAAAAAAAGCCAGGCGCGGTGGCTCACACCTGTAATCCCAGCACTTTGGGAGGCTGAGGCAGGCGGATCACAAGGTCAGGAGATCGACACCATCCTGGCTAACACGGTGAAAACCCGTCTCTACTAAAAATACAAAAATTAGCTGGGTGTGGTGGCGGACGCCTGTAGTCTCAGCTGCTGGGGAGCCTGAGGCAGGAGAATGGTGTGAATCCGGGAGGCGGAGCTTGCAGTGAGCTGAGATCACGCCACTGCACTCCAGCCTGGGCGACACAGCGAGACTCCGTTTCAAAAAAAAAAAAAAGAAAAGAAAAAGAGTGGTGATAGTGATTAATGTGATTAGAGAAGGAGTGCTGCGAGGACAACTGCTGCTCTCTCATGGCCGCCTCTCCCCTCCTGCAGGCCCCCAGCCCCATTGCCAACACCTTCCTCCACTATCGAACCAGCAAGGTGAGGGTGCTGAGGGCGGCGCGCCTGGAGCGGCTGGTGGGAGAGTTGGTGTCTGGAGACCGTGAGCAGGACCCCAGCTTTGTGCCCGCCTTCCTGGCCACCTACCGGACCTTTGTACCCACTGCCCACCTGCTGGGCTTTCTGCTGCCACCAATGCCGCCGCCCCCACCTCCTGGGTCAGTAGTGAACCAGAACCTCCATGTTCCCCACCCTAGACCCCCAGTTGGGCACCCCCCTCCACCTCCTCAGGTGTGGAACCAGGAAACACCTCCCAAACCCAGGGCCCTCTTCCTAAGCCCCCTCTAGCTTCCCCCTTCTTCACCTGCTGGGGGACTTCTTCCCAGGGTAGAGATCAAGAAGACAGCGGTACAAGATCTGAGCTTCAACAAGAACCTGAGGTGGGTCCTTCATCTGGATAGGGGAGTGCTGGGAGGGAAATCCCAGAGGTCAAAGGTTAGCAGTTGGCCTGGGGTTTTGAAAATTGCAGATTGGGTAATAAAAGACTGGGAGTCAAGCTGGGCTTGGTGGTTCACTCCTGTAATCCCAGAACTTTGGAAGGCAGAGGCAGGTGGATCACTGGAGGTCAGGAGTTAGAGACCAGCCTGGCGAACATGGCAAAACCCTGTCTCTACTAAAAATACAAAA